CTTTTGCGTGAGTCAAGTGAAAAACGTTAAGAAATGCCGCTGATTTTGTAGATTTCACCGTCGGTTAATCGAAACAATTTTGCATGTGCATGTAACAAAACTCAACTTTCTTTCGCTCGTGTTTCATCTAGCATTCGATTTCGTAAAGTAATGTGTAATTACAGCTTTTATAAAGCAATTTCTGTTTCCTTTCAATCGATGGAAATAACAGATGAGAAACTCGATAGCCACGGATTTTGTAAATTTTGCCGTACACGTCAATCGAAATTAATTTGCATAATCATGAAAACATATCTCGCTCTCCTCGTTAAATGGATGCAAGTAACCACTAAACGGATGTAATTTATTTTAAACGGATAGGTTAACTGTTTAAACGTTTTGTCGAAAACGTTAAACGGATGAGCAAAGCGATTAAACGGATGAAGAAAGCATTTAAACGCTTTAATGATCCGTTTTAAACGGATGGTAAACGGATTGATTCGTTAAACGGTAAAGCGTTAGTGTACAAAATCCTGTGCCCGGTCATAAATGTTGGGTCTTTGCAATAGCCTGTAGTTTCATCCCATTCTTGCACAGTATCTGGAACCCATTTTTCTGCTGATTGCCATCTCCCTGACGCGGCACTTGGTCTGAAGTGTAAATTTAGACTTCGTAAGGTGTCTGTTGGGATTGGTTGCTTGCAGTGTGGACAAACGACTTCTCTTTTTCTCAGTTGTCTTCTAAACCATTCCTTGAAGCAGCTTTCAAAGTGAATAAGCTGCTTACAGCAGTTGGTCCGTTGTAAAGGACTTTCCTCACCCAAACAGATAAAACAGCGTGTTTCTGAACAATCAAACATATTGGAATAGTTAGTTTTCACATTACCAAATTTGCGATTAGTTTGTGAAGTACCTCCTGTCCAAAAAACAATTACTTACGAAGTTGCTCAGGCCTCGGATGTTTTGAAAAACTTTTGGTCATCTTTATATTGGTATGTGATATCTTACAATAACCTAAAAGGTGTTGTCTGAATGAAGTTCAAAGTTGTTATTTGAATGATGATAAACTG